TAAGTAACATCTTCTTGGATATTATAAGGTGTGAGTAACGACTACCATTTCTAAATATATAGCTCATATTTACATGTGGAGATGTTCAAATGCGCCGTGTACAACAAGTATTACGCTTACCTAAGTACATATTTGGCCGAGACTGTTTAATTTTATCTTTACAGCAATTGTGATATTACTTTCTCAACTCTGTTTATAACAACCCACCCTGTCAAATTCCCTTGTGGGAGGAAACTAGAGCCCTCGGAGAAAACCCACGACTTGTCATCCACCATTGCTGAATACAACATTGTTGAGTCTTTTAAACATGCTTGGTAATGTCGAAGCATGTTGGAACACAAGAAGCGCGACTATGTCCAATTTAAATGTATCTTAATTAAATTTTAATGCGAACGTATCCATGGATAATCTGTATACAGTTATATCAAAGCAGTCGATGTAGAAACACGCAAGGCGGGTAATGTCCATACAGTTATATCAAAGCGGTTGGTGCAGAAAACACACGATACGAATGAAAACACGCGAGGGAAAAGCGAGGCAAGAGGAAAGGGTTGAAACTCATGCAGGCTCGTATCATTAGTGTGTTCCATAAGTTGCTTGGGCAGATGTTTGTCAACAGGTGGAAAGCCGACCACCGCTAAGAACTATTAACTAGTGGAAATACATGCATGCAGCAACCCCTCGCCTATATTTTCCAAACATTGATTTAACACGAAGTATTAGTAATTGGCTAATATTAAACGCAGGCTCGCGTTTACGTCAAGTGTTGCCATGGGAACACGATAAAACATTCTAAACGGCAAAAATAGTTGAAAGAATAGTACTTTTAACAATACAACAATGAATTTTCGAAAAATGTACTTTAGGTATGCTATTTTTCATTTTGTGACAGTCGTACAATGTCTTGTATTGTTCATTCAACTAAAACGCTAATGCCAATGAACGATTTTTACTTAATAAAACAGAATAAGTTCAAATTTTTGTTTAGAATGTCAGAACAGGCATCAGTCGAAATGTTATGATCTAACATTCTAAAAGACCCCCGATCCATTTGTCCCATAACTTTACAAGCATTGGCCATATGATCCTTATATGAAAATCCAAAGTTATTACTTTTGTCTTTGATACACACAATTAAATTTCGTTCAGACACTGGTGTATGACGCCGGAATTCCTTTAAATTTTCAGTTCATTTAATTAAATTAAAGTTAAATTGTCAGCAACTCTTTTCTCATTTTTTTCATCAATGAAGTCCTTCTCTACACTGTTTAAAAATACCTCCATTGCAGAAACCTTCGACTGATAGTGGTGGTTCTTTCACCGACTTCTTATAGGGAGCTTCCGAATGATTCTCATCACCGCAGGTTGATGTAACCTCTTGTCCGTGAAAGAAGGATCGCCATCTCACTTTTCTTTTAAAATCAAGCCAACTTTTATGTACATCATTCTCATGGACGCCGGAACTGGAGGGGCAGGAGGGCCAGCTGCCCCTCTTGCCCTTTACCAAGAGGGGAAAGCCGGGCGAAGGTTGTCTTTTGATTAAAGGAAAATATTTGTTATTAATAGAAAGAATTCGTTCTTGTTGTTATAGAACTATATAAACTATATGATATAACAAACTTTTGCTGGAAAACTATAAGAAATTTATGGAAATTCAGTTTATATGATTCCAGTGTTGTTCCAATTTGCTGTTAACGTGCGTGTCACCTCATATTTTTCGCAAAGATCTATGTCGACAGAGCCTCTGAAAAAAAATTTGGCCGTGAAGGAGGGCGAAGTTAAAATAACTGTAAAGCGGTAACAATATATAAAAAGTAAAATTACTTGAAAGAACTTGATTTAAACGAGCCTTTATATATCAAATTCGCGTACGACAACAGTCATTTTGGGCTGAATTCTTTTGTGCCAGAAATGCAGTCATTGAGCTTCAAAAATATCAAAATCCTTTGGGGGAGAACCGCAGACCTCCCTACTTCTTTACAAATCAGAAACGTGATTATGGCAGCGTTAAACTCCAGATGTTTCGTAAACGTCCTTTAATATATATCAATGCAAAAGTGCCCTTCGACGAAAGTCTGCCCCCTTCGCCCTCTCGTAGTTCCAGCGTCCCTGATCATTCCAATCAACGCTTGTAGGTGTCAGGGCAAAAGACTGGCCTTTACTACAAATACCAACTAACGCTTGTTCAATTGTTTGATCGGTAAGATTAATCGGTTCATATTTGCTAAAGTTTCTTCCACAACTTCAGAAATTCTATAGTTGTCGCTCATTTCTGCGAGTGTATTTCAAGGACTTAAGCCATCACGAGTATATTTATTTTCGGCCGCAATACTTCATACACATTTGCGTCATCCTGCCAATCTCGTACCCAGAGCAATGCCTGTACGCAGGCTAGGATGGCATTGGCTTTGGGGAAATTGACAACCGGAACCCCTAAATTTAGGGGTTCCGGTTCTTTGTCGGCATGCACGATTGATAAACGTTAAACCAATCACAGCACAGGAAAAATTCAATTTCCCCAGAGCCAATGCCATCCTAGCCCGCACACAGACATTGCTCTGGGTACGAGATTGTCATCCTGCTGGTTCGCTGTTGCAACTGCACGCATCATCTACTTGTTCCGGGTGAAATAGTTTTAGAGATTGGACAATTTTCTGTTCCTCTTGCTTTAGTTGTGAAACTTTATGCTTATGTTGTTGTTCAAATAAATTCATTAACTTTGTAGAATATTTCTTTAATATAGAATTTACTCGTGCCTGCATGGTTTGTTCTAGACTTTCCCAAAGTCCTTTCCATATTTAAATTATTTGAATTAACTATTCAAATGTCGTTACAGTAGTTAGGTTACCCTGGTTGCCAGAGGTTCTGTATCTTTCGCCTTATTCCCGCTCGTATATTTATTTTACGCGAGGCGAAGAGAACCTCTGGTGGCACGCGATACAAATCTCTCTTCCATGCTGACGTTGCCGTTTGAGAACTTGCAAAACCGGTTTTATATTTTGTGACGTTTTTAAACTTTCGGGTTTGTCATACTACCAAAATAGCTCTCTTCAGACAGCCTTGTGTAAAATACTAACAATAAGCAGCCGAAACATGTAGATTATTCATTAGAAACATGTAGATTATTCTCGTAACGCACAAAGCAAAAAGCAACCTTACTGATTGTGGAATGCCGTTTGTATTAGGTCTATTTATAGCGTCAAAAGTGAAAGAATATAAACATATAAATATTTATATATACGTGTGCAACGGAGCCAGTATGGTTGTCCTTAACAGACAACGGAAAAATATTGGCAAAATAAATCATATTAATAACTATTAATTTAAAGTCAAAGAATTGCCAAAATTTAAAACCTTGAACGATATAAAGCAAGTGACCGACACTTTATATTTTACAAATATTAGTCATGCCGCGATGGCCCTGCAGCTCTTCTCCAGCGCAGAAAGTCTTTTTATAGCGGAACAAACTAAGTTAAACTCAAATAACCCACACTGAGTAAAGCATTTTAATACGTTCGTATTATTTCTGTATTTTGTTTACATCGTGTCTCTGAGATTTATAAACAGGTTTTTTTGTCTAGCCAATCACATCACTTCATGTGACTGCTAATTATAACTAACCAATCATGTGCTTGGTACAACTTTTGTACCAAAGGAAGAGAGATTTGTATCGCGTGCCACCAGAGGTTCTCTTCGCCTCGCGTAAAATAAATATACGAGCGGGAATAAGGCGAAAGATACAGAACCTCTGGCAACCAGGGTATAGTTAGGTAGGCTTTCGACTTATTTTAATATAGTTAGGTAGGCTTTCGACTTATGTTAATTTTCTAAACTAAAGCGGCATTTATGTCCCTACAAGAACGGCAAACAACATTTGTTAGAATGTTATTAATAGTGTAGCTTCACTACAAGGAACTCTTCCCATTATTACTGTAATAGTTCAATGTTTTCGCAAACATTCGTCTTTTTATGCCCAGAAAAGAATTGTCATCGCTTATAGACACAACGTACGTGCATAGATATCTTATATGCACTAGATAGCGCATCTCTTTTAGTCAAATTGAAGACGACGAGAGACCACGAGTGACCACGAGTAATTTCTGTGTTTAAAAATCATAAAATAATATTCAATAATAATTCATAAGCTTATTGGCAAATCATGTCAACCATAATATGTCACGTGCAGTGGCTTTAAACCTGATAAAACACTCCTATTTAGTATTCTTTATATCAAGAATACTAATAAGGCAGTATCTATTGTACTCGTGTCCTCATTAGTATTTTTTATATAAAGAATACTGATTAGGCAGTATATCTATTGAATTTGTAATCGTGTTTGAAGCCGTTTAAATTAATAAACTCGCAGGTCGTGTTTCATTAGGTCTAAAGCAAATAAAACACTCCTGCTCGTTTATTAAACAGTACATAAAAACTATTTGAAGGTGGCTCCCTAAGGTTATTATCTATTTTAATGGATAATCTATTATTTCTATGATTACACTACACTGTAGTACCTAGAAAACGCCTGTTTCTTCACTTTACATAACATGAAGACGAAATTTATTGGACAAATTGACAATGCTCTCCTGAACATTGCAATGTTCTACTTTTGTGCTGAAAGTCCCCTACCATGGCAACAGCGTGCTTAGGATAAGGCTCACAATTTGTCTTTTCTCGGCCATTTTAAAAATCCCTTAGGGAAATTTTATGAGTTTTTCGACTATTGTAAACGTCAGTCTACAGAGATGTAGCAAAGCACCTGAAGTTGGCGGGGGTTGTCGGAGGATTTTACCTGAAGTTAATTTGAATTTTTAATTAATAAATATTTACATAAAGTGCAATAATTATAATAAAGGTTTTTGTGGTTGACTTGCACTGTCATACTAAGTTTCGGGAGAAAACGGGGGTTTGGGGGTCCTCCCCCAGAAAATTGTTCCATCTTTGTAGCTCTAGGACTGCACATATCAAACTTTGCGTTAACAAAAAGTGATATCGTATTGCGCGTATCATATTTCCAACTTTTCCCTATACAAATCACCCCAAAATTTGATGTTTTTTCGCTTACGTTTGCTCTACGATTATATTGGTGTTCAGTTACCCTCGGTATAGGAAAGAACAAGTCTTTAGACGCCTTTTGAATGTACTTTTATGGGGAAATAATCCTTAATTCGAATGTCACTTTTCGTTTGATTGTGGGCTGTTTGTTAGAATTTGTATAGGAAATTCGCCTCGCGCGTGGTGTCTGTTGAAGAAAACTGGCACTAGGACCTTCTGCGCAGGTCTTTGACTCCAGTTACCGCCTGATTTGAAGTCTTCGTGAAATTTGGCGCATTTTGATAGCAAATTCATGCTTATTGATGGCGATTTGGGAATGTCAAAATGAGCGCAAAGATGTGGGTTTTGCTTGTGTTTACAAGCTCATTAGTAATTCACTCGCTCGGCTGCAAGAGATGGCGAAGGGACGTCTCAGACTCGATCTCGACTCTACCTTATATACCTTATATGTCTTATATTGTACACCAGATAAGTGTTGAACAATTGTAATGATTTTACTTTTAATAAAATTAGTTATACTGCCTCATTATAACTGAAGTTTACGCTTGGGAAATGCTGCTTAGTAATATACATTATCTGATTAATACCGTATAGTTACTTGATCTACACTATGGCATCAGAATACAAACGACAAGAGGATCAAAGTTTAATATGATTCGTGCTTGGCCATTATTGTTGTCAATCGTATTCATAAAATGCGTTGTCTTTTCTAGGTTTTTCAGCAGGTTTACTCGATACATCGTGTTCGATTTATAAGTCAAACGGTTCAGTGCTCGAAGCGTGCGCGCTTAGGTCTCACTCTCTCCGTCATATAATAGTAACAATAATAAACTTTATTTAATTTAATGAAGGTATTACAAAACCAGTTTGGCACATCTAATCTTTAATATAATGGTCTTCAACACTGGGCCGTCTGTAATTTCACAGGACACTAGTTTGAGCAAATGTTCATTCATATAGGGGGAAAGTTTGATATGATTCTAGCGTTCTCTAAAGCAAATTCGCGAACAAATTGGATGCAAATTGACTGTATATTTTGTAAAAATGGTTATCATTTCACACAAATAATTACTTTATTACGCAAATTTTACTGAAAATATCAAAATTTTAACTGGAATTTTACCTGATTTTTGGC